TTAATTTGCTTAATGGAAACATGCCAACTTCCAACTTTTTTTTTTAGCAGTAGAAGCAAAAGTTTAACTCTTGAAGTCTTCAGTCCAAAATAATCTTGTGTAAATAACCCTGACCATTGTGGCTTCCCTCTTTTTTATGTTTCTAGAATTTGTGCTTTTTCCTGCAGGCCCTATAAATAAATAATGTTTTGTCATCTCTCCCGTCGCCTCACAGGAGACCGGTCCATGAGCAGCTCCCTGTCTCCGTCTCAGCTGCACACCGTCAACATGAGGGACCCTCTCAATAGAGTCCTGGGTGAGCCTGTTCTCCACCACGTTTAAAGAAACATGAACCAAAATCCAAATGTTCTGCCTTTATTAGTAGTTATGAAACGATAATTGTACGATTTAGATGAAATGGAAGAAGACAAATCTAAAATAAACCAACAAACTGAGCGCTGACTGAAGCGACGGCCTCAGAGGAAACACACCACACATTTCTGTAGAAATGCACCTGTTGCTGTTTTGTTCACACTGACTTCCAATTATAGTAAAAAATTCAGTTCCCATTTTGATACTGATTTCTTTATGGGGATAATGAATCAACATTATTAGCAAGCATTCCGATGTCATAAAGTTGGTTGTCAAGTATGAACATATGGTGCTTACCAATACTAGGGGAATACCAAAGTTCCAAAACTTCAAACCTTTTTCCTCTTGCCTTGTCAGCTGGCTGAAAGAGGAACGCTGCTGCATTCATCCTTCACTTTCAGAAAGGAAGCAGAAATGTTGGTTGACCAATGAATCGACTAATATGTGATTTATTTTATACTCCCTGTATTGATCTCTAGAATAGAATAGAATATACTTTATTTAGCTCCAATGGGAAATTCCTTATTTGTGGACAAGCTACTCTATCCAAGGTGTTAAATATTATTAAATACAAATACAACCATATTGCTTATGGTTATATTTGTATTCAATATAAAAAATATTATTTGTGAAAAAAATTATATTTTATAAAACAGATGTATACACAGGTATGATATTTTAAGTAATTTAAGTATTACTAAATATAAAATAAAATTATCGTCTAGTTGAGTGGCAGACATGTTTCTTCCCGTCCACAGTGCAGGAATAACGCAATATGATGTTTGTTAAAATGGAAACAATTTTTCATGCTTTGCTTGTCAACCCGTCGTAATCGTTCACAATCTAAGGTCGTCATATTCCCCACAACTATTAATGCACAACTGCAGTGATGAGTATTTAAGATAAGCAGTAGATGGTCTTAAGAGAAGTCACAGCTCCTCTGATTGGAATCAAAACTGTTTCCTTCATTTCTTTTTTTTTTTTCTTTTTTTTTTTTAGATTTCAGTGCAACTCTGAATCTGTGGTAGTTTTAGTCAGTTACCACACTTTTTACTGCTGACATTTTTGTATCTTAGCATTTTTTTCCCCATAGAATTTTCTAAAGATATAGTATTGAATAAAAGTATTTATACAAATAAAGTCAAACTAAAGTTGAACTGCAATGTGTCTTACACCGTATCACAGTTAAACATCAAATTATGGCTTTATAACTGGATCTTTGTTCAGTTTATTTTACTGTTCAGGACATAAAGGGGCTTCATATTACAGGATTATCTTTCCTGCTAATACAAGTTATCACGCTATACAACATATGTGTGAAGACAAGTTCTGATTTATATGTAGTTAAATAGTCTATTTTGTCATTTTTTATATAATATAACCTGTTTTCTTTACTTGAACGTCAGTTAGTTTAGGTTTTAGGAAAAAATACATATAGTGAAAAAGGATACACCTCTACCAACATAATTCTGTTTTGTAGAAATTATTAGACATCTGGACTGGTTTAAGACATTTAATTAGTTTAAATTGCTCTGTTACAATCAGTCAAGATCTCGTTTTTAAGTTTCCTATAAACAGTTTCTAATGCAGGATGTTCCATGACATATTAGCCACGGTGCACCGCAGTCTGGCAACCCTGCTGAACCGCTTGCATGCCTCCACAGAAAACGGTTTCCTCTTATCAAATACCTCACTGATGGGAAAAAAAAAAAAAACCACTTAGTGATCATTTCCAAACTGAAGATAAGATATGTGGTTTGAAAAGTGAATGTCCTCTATCATCAGGCCTATTTTGAAAAGGTTTAGTTCACTGTAGAAACACAATTTAATGTTTGCATTGTTTTTCTTACTATGAATTTCATTTAACTTTATTGTGAAAATAAAATGTCTAATTCACTTTTTATGATTATTTTTGATAAAGCAGGGATGTTTGGCTATAAAATGGAAAGAACTGACTGGATGAGTGAGACAGGAAGTTGTTCAACTCTTAAATTACAACTTTAGTTTGTGCAACTTTCATTGCATTATAAATGACTGTTAAAGTGAGATTGCATTTTCACTTTCATTTGAAGCATTAACCAACTGTTGGATGAAAATTAGTATTCATTTCTGTGGGACCTGTGTGCCAGCTCTGCTAACTAAAAACAAATGTTCTGTTTTCTGCTCCTCAGCCAACCTCTTCCTCCTGTTCTCCTCCATCTTGGGCTCCAAGATGGCGGGGCCTCACACCCAGTTTGTGCAGAGTTTTCTTGAGGAGTGCGTCGAGTGCTTGGAGCAGGGAAGCCGTGGCAGCATTCTGCAGTTCATGCCTTTCACCATGGTGAGTTAGGAGCTGGGAGGCGAAAACAACAAAAAAATAAGAAGAAAAGAAAAAAGAGGGGTTGGGAGAACCAGTCAGTGTTGCATCAGGCTTTACTGAATCACTCCTCTTAAATTTAGCGCTTGCAGTAAAAAGTGAGCACCTTATCAGACAGAATCAAAAGATTACCAGTCATGAGTGCTGTGAGTAGTTTGCACAAGTTGAATAAAAACCAATAAGATAGTTTAAGAATGCAAAAATAGACTCGCTTAAGACATTTGCCTTGAGGTCAGTTAAGGGTGTATTTATGCGAACATTGACTCATTGCTGCTGTAATAAAATTGTGCTGACTCATCTTTTTCTGTAAATGTTTTCAAACTGGTAGCTTGGCAGAATCAGGGTAAAGGTGAACAATCTGAGAAAAATGTTTTGAGCAGCACAGATGACAGCTGGAGTGATGCAAACGTGTCCAGAGTTTCAGAAACACTCAAACCCTTTGAACCTTGTTGCTATGGATGCACTGATTGCAGTTTTCTGGCCAATCACTGGCCAAGCCTGACTGATTTTTTATTTTTATTTTTATTTTTATTTTTTTATCTGAAGAACAGGAAGTTGACAATGGTGCAGGGCATTCTGGGTAAATACATCCACCATCAGCGAAATGGCTTAAGGTCTTTTGCTAAAGAGAAATCCTCCAACCGCTAAAATCTGACGCCACTTCATTTGTGTTTACATTTTATGAAAAATGAAATTGCACTCATGCCGTCTTTAAAGGTTTTTGGGTTGTTTCCTTCAAAGGTTCTTGCTGTAGCGCCTCCACAGGTGAGGAGGGTAACAGTTTTTATAAGTGTTTTGGTTCATTAGGCACAGCGCAGTGTAAAAGAGAACCACAGCACCTGAAAATGGAGCAAATGTTGCAGTTTTGGTTCCCAATCAAATATATTTGCCAGACTATCAGGTATAAAAACACTCCTAGACTTAAAACTAATTTTTCTTTATTATTATACAGTTCTGTTGGTGTGTTAGATGCTGCTCCTTGAGTTTTGTTTTTACATACAAAGTCATAGACCAGAATGTTTCTAAAAGATATTTACATTTTACACTTGATGTCAGTGTTGTTGATGTAGATTTAGAACATGGAAAAAATAAATGGCTCTTTATACTTCTAATAGGATAAATGTTATGCTTTTACATTTTTTTTAATAAACAAGCAAGTCAGGATGTTTTTGCCTCTCGAATTAAATGTTAAAAGATTTAATTCAAGAGGCACATGAAATTGAGGTTGATGTGTGAAATTAGGCTTAACGGAGCAAGATTTGAATTCTTGTTCTAGATCAAGAATAAATGACATTTGAGAAAATATTTCAGTCCCTTCTTCTGTAGAGAGTTTACCATTACACTGAGCAAATATTTTCTTTACTTTAATACCAAATTTAACATAGTAGGTCATGAGTAGGGTTTGTGCCTCTTGGCTGAACTTCTTTGTGTAAAAGAAAAAGAAAAACAAATTTAGATGTTGACAGAGTACAAACAGTTTCACCCAGCAGTGTGTGTAAAGTGAGTGTGTGTTTTTGTGTGTGTTCAGGTGTCTGAGCTGGTGAAGCTGCCGGCGCTGGCCAAGCCCAAAGTGGTCCTGGCCATCACCGACCTGAATCTGCCGCTGGGAAGGAGAGTGGCTGCCAAAGCCATCTCGGCTCTCTAAACTCTTCCAGTTTCCAGTTCCTCCAGTCCCGGACTCACCCGCCCGACCAATCAACATGTTCTGAGAAGTGAAGAAGGACGAAGTGTAAAAAAAAAACTTAAGACTGAATGGACCGACTGGAGTATTAGACTTCTCTTTTTTTTCTCTCTCTTTACACACATCTTTGACTTTATAAATAGATTTTTGAATAAAAATAGTTTGCTTTTGCCAGTTTTTTACTTCTGTGATGTTTTTATTTTTGACCAGATCACATTGTTTAAACAGTTTCGCCTGTTCTTGTGATCACTTTGTGTCTTAATCAGAATGATGACTCTGAGGTTTTTCACATGACATGCTGAGGGAATCATCCTCCTGGTGACAATTGGTCATCTGCCAGTCACACCTGCAGGAACTCTGTCTGACGGGACGCCGGAGCCGCCGTTTCACTTTTAGTTGCACTTCTGTTTCCTTTGCTTGAATTTCGGAAACAAATTCACCAGCAAGGCAGCGTGTCAGCAAGTTTCACCGCACCACCATTAAGAAAACAGAACAGTTGTATTTTCAAGAAAGAAAATTTTATTTTTGTATTGGGACGTAGGAAAATAACAAATTAGATTTTAAATAGCAGTACAAAAATAATTAGTTTCTTTTTCAATGTTACACCTTCTATAATCGTCTTTAAAGCTGCAGTGCGTAACATTTACAGAAATGCGTTTTTCCATATTTATTAAAACTGTCAAAATGTTGACATTATCTTATGAGACAATCTGAAAAACTGAGGTTCTCCACCTCCTAGTGCTAATATTGCATCGCTCTGGGTCCAAATCAACCAATCAGAGCCAGGAGGCGGGGCTTAGCGCTGTAGATCAACCTCCTTACTGTTACAAATAAACTGTTAATCTGCCGTCATCAGTGGCTATGCTAAATAGCATTAGCATTCATGTGATTCTATGTTGTGGAGAACCAGGTGTAACGTAGCAAAGTGCAAGCAGGAGGAGCTGAGCACGAGAGTGATTGACGGCACTAAGACCCTCCTCCTCCTCACGCTGATTGGTTGTTTCTGTGTGGTGAATTTCTGCATTTGGTACCAGGAGAAGCCAGAGAAACTGTTGTTTTTTTTTTCACAGATTATGTGTTTTATACTGTCATGACATAATTATCATTTTAACAAATATGTAACAATGTTTATTTTAAAACGGTTACATACTGCAGCTTTAATATGTTCCCAGAACTCACTAATATGAGCATTATTAGCTGGTCATACATCTGACGAGTGCAAAGGTTTATCAAAAAAATTGATTTCCTAAATAAATACAATGCATCTCTCGAAATAAATATATAAATAAAAATAGATTTAACAAATAAATAATCTGCTAGCAGATCAATAAATATAACAAAAACTGGCAACGTAGGTTTTCAGCTCAGGCTGAAAGAGGAATACAACGATCTTTGGTCAGCTCTGGTTGTCATCGCCGGTGCTGCGGTCCAGACTCCTGAGGCAACGCGCCACGTCCCAGCTGAACGCCTGCAGCTGGACCAGGGTCAGGTGAGCCGCCACCTGGACCTCAAATTCCCCCGGGAGGCGCAGTTCCACCGAGCCCGACGTGGGGGGCGCTGCGATGTGCGATTGGTTCATTTTCTGCATCTGTGAAATGGATCAGGAAGTTGTGATTGCGAGATGTAATGCAAAGCGTTTTTTTTTTTTAAGCTGCAATACAGACGTCCAAAATAAATGTACCTTAGCAATCTGGATTTTTAGATCTCGGACATCGGACATCAATGCAACCACTTTGTCTTTCTCTGCTAGTCGAGGGGCGATGGAGCTCAGCAACCCTTGGTGCAGCTGCAGCCCATCATGCATCACTCTCAAACCAGTTTCCTAATACAGAATGAGGGGAGCAAACTGAGTATGTCTTTGTTTTTTATATATATACTGTATGTATATATATATATATTTATGATTACATAAAACAAGGTTTTCTACAAACGGAAGACACTTACCAGAGTGAAATTTTCTGAAACCGCTGTGAGTACAGGAGCCGGGGGGATGCCAATGTTGGTCGCCATGGTTGAAAACCTGCCGATGTCTGAAGAATCCAACTTTAGGGTCTGTGATGAAGAAATGATGTGTAGATGGAAAATGATAAATAGATACGCTTAGATTCCCTGTGAAAGTTATTTTTGATTCACCATTAAGCCACATACAAATTCAAACATCTGCAATATTTTCATAATTATGAAAAAAAAATAATTATTTGCAATAACCACAAAGTACTGTTTACCAATTTTGTAAAATAAACTGTACTTGTATACTTATTTCAAGTATCATATAAAGTACTAATGTTAAATTTTATTTTACCTGTATTTGTGAAGTTTTTTAAAAATTTGATATCAAAGTATATTTGTCCCCTTAAAGTTCAACTTTAATGTAGAGTAAACATAGCTTCACATCAAATAAAGGTCGCACAACTTTGTATTTTCTGAAAAACTCGCCAACATCAAATTTCTCTGATGCTTTCTGAACAGAAACTTCAATAGTCTCAGATTGTTTAAAGTCACAAGAGTCATAATTTAAAGCTACTTGTTCATTTGAACACTTTATGCCCCACGTGTCTGTACTGGAGTCATGCTTTAAAACAACAAAAATTGATGGCTTTTTTTTGCCATTTATTAAACATGTTTCTCAATGTAAAATAAAAACCAATCAAGCTCAAGAATTAAAAAAAAAAATATTAATGTGATGAAGGGCTTTGGGCCCCCCAAATTATATTCTGCTCTGGGCCCTGTGCGACTTTCGGTCGCCTGTGGCAAAGTATGGTACTTTTGTGTTAATTTGTTAAAAAAAAAAAAGAAAAAAGAAAGAAAAGAAAAGTTGTTTTAAAGGAACCAGCATAAAACGGTAAGAGAAAACCGAAAATAAGCCTTCTTGTGAATTTATTCTTGTAATCTCTGAGAGAAAGTGACAGGTACTGAAATATTAATCGCGCTTATAAATAGTGCATTTTAAGTTCCAGAATGGTTCCGTCTGCAGCCCAGAAAACAAACACATTTCAGACGGACCGAACAACAGAGCCTCATTTCTCCTGACTGAACCCTTCAGCTCAGAGCGTTATTCATTGTTTTGTTTTGTTCCTTCCTATGACGCAGCAGTATTACCCGCAAATATTCAGCCGAAACGCAAAAACGTGCGTCGGCCAGGTTTCAGCGCCTCACCTCTGTGTGAATGCAGGAGCTGTGCGTGTCGGCTATGGAGTCCAGGATCTTTTGCGTCAAGCTGCGGCTCCTCTGCAGGATCTCCTGGAACCGCGGATCCTCAACAAGTGCGCTGCCGCTCTCCGGCAGAGGCGCGCTGCGGGCGGCGGAGGCCATGAAGCAGGCGAAGACTGCGGGGAGAAAACGACCGAATAGTTAAAAAGAAGAAGACGAAGAAGAGGCAGAACAACCGTCTTTATAGACAGAACAAAGCCCGGCTCTGTCAGCTCCTGTGTCCTGCAGAACTGAGCTCGACCCCCACACAACCCCACCCTCCTCACCCCTCCTCTCCCCTCCCCTCCCCCCAAATGAACACAGAGGCTGCAAGAGTTTTACAAGACTCTCTGAAACATGAAACCCGAGGCAAAAAATAACTGGACACATCCATCTGAGCTGTGAAGGAGTGTTTCTATTTGTTAAGATAAACGGTCCGGTACCAGCCGGAGCTGATCCGCCCCCCAGTGCTCGGGTCAGAGCTGTCTGTGTGGGAGCTCTCTCCAGAGATGAGCAGCAAAGGAGGGGAAGCAGAGTTTTACAATGATTTCCTCTCTACTCACCAATCAGGACATGCATGGCCTCAGCTGGGTCAGGTCTCACAAGTATTGACCTGAAAGTGAGCACTATTACTGATTTACTCTACTCTTATTGACATATTTATAGAAACACCCAGAGGGGGGGGGGGGGGTTTCCTTTATCATCATCATCGTCCTCATCATCATCTTATCTCACAATCCATTACATAAATTCCATTGAAACTTACAAATGACTCTTGTTTTTTCTGAAATGACAGCCCAAATACAACTTGTGAACAATTAGAATTTGGTTGTTTTTTGTTGTTGTGACAGGATTATAACATGTATAATTGATGTATAATTGATGTAAATCTGAAAGTTAGAGTAGAACCTGAACCAATAAAGTATTAACTGGTGAATTAGTTTGTCCTCCTTTTCTTCTTTTTCTTACATTTAATGGGAATTAATTTATTTGCTTCATGGCCAAAAGAACGATTCATTGCCAGTAAAAATCTCTTATCTTAGCCTGGATTTTATTTTTATCCACTTTATTCTATTTTTTTTTCCCAAAACTAAGAGAATGTTTCATGACAATCTTCTGAGACAATGAAGCATCTCTGAACAACAAAAAAAATCTCAAACTCAACTTGTTTTGTATTGAATTCAGTGGAATGATTAGGTTCATTGTCCATTTGAACAGTTATAAAAATAATTTCCACCCTTCACCAATTTCTCTGAAAAACAAGCTCATCTTTGTTGAACAGGTCAATGTTTTTCTTAAGACAGATCATTTATTAACTTGTAAGTTACGTGATATCTCTAAAAGCAGCTGATTTGAGCATCTCTGTACCTCTGTATAAATTAGTAAAATATCATTTTACAAATTTATATTTTTGCTACTGATAGTACGAGAGCGGCCGGTGTTTCCTGAGAATTTCTCTGAGACATATTTTACAATAGTCATTAAATAACCATATATATTTTAAACTGTGAATCCTTTGACTCGTTGTAAAATTAATAAATGCTCTTGTATTATAAAAAAAATTTGCAACAGTATAAGTAGACTAATAAGAAATAAAGAATATGAATATAGTTGCTGATTACTTCCAAAGAAGGTAACATGTTAATGAATTGTGATATTAGTCAAAGTTATTTTCCCCCAGCTACAAAATATGGTGAAATTGCATTTTTCTATTAAAGGTGAGAAGTAGTAAAACTTTTTATTGGAATTTTGTTATTTACCTAGTTGTCTACCGCCATCAATATGTGTTGTACTTTTGATGCCTTTTTGAGTTAGCTCTCTTTAACCAAAGTTCTGTGTTTTTTTTTTTTATAGAGGAAGCATACAAGGCAGCTGGAGAAATATAATGAATTGACAACAGCAGCCTGCAAGAGAAAATCTGAACATTTTTGCACAAACCTCACACAGTTGAAGCTAGACGAAACAATGCAAGTCTCTCAGATGAGTGTCAACAAGCCAGTTCTAAACTTCATGGTCTCCAGCCGTTCTCTCATGTTGAGCAGCCAGCATTTCAGAGCCTTATCCGAGATCTGCAGTTGAACCTCTGTGCGGCTCAAGCTTGATAAAGCCACGTTAGCAATGAGGAAGGTGCCATATGTAGCCACAACAACTGATAGCTGGAGTGCGAGGAGGAGGAGTTTCATTGGCGTTGCAGCCCATTGGCTGGATCTAAGCACCTTCTGCTGGTCTTGCATGCATGCAGCTAGAGGGCACTCACACGTTTGACGTCTTGGCAAACACATTGAATGACGTACACTGCTAATATGCAATCTGTGAGAAGATTGTCAGAACCAAAACTGTCAAGGGATCAAAGGAGGAGATGAAAGCAACAACGTTACTGGTGAGGAGGCAACTGACGAAGATCCAACATCTTTGATTGTCAGGATGAGGAAGTAGAATTAATCCAAGTTGGCACCGTGGTGACTGAAGATGATGGTCTCAAATACCAGCTTCCAAAGCATCTTTAGCGTACTTGCCATTTGTTCAATCTGGTGGATGCAAAAAGCGCAAACAAGACTGAGGCCTACAAGAAATTGTCGAGGTCAGCCTTCTCCAAATGTCAGGCTCTCTGGAACAAGACTGTGAGGTCTGCTGTTGCTGAAGAGGTGGTTGAAGAACATTGTAAATTTCAGCTGGTGCAACTTACCACAACAGGGTGGAACTCCTTTAACTTGGCTGTAGAGCGGATGCTGAGAATCCTCAAAGAACAAGGAGAGAGAGCTGTGAGAGCTGTCTGTGCTGCACTTGATGTTCCAGTGTAAGTAGTCAATATTTGGTGTTTTACTAGTCACACTAAGGGTGCATTCACACCAGGCCTGTTTAATCTGCATTAATTGAACTCGAGTTTGTTTACCTAGAAAGTTCGGTTTGTTTCGAGAATGTGAATGCATAATCAAAATCTAATGCAGACCAAAAAGGCGAACAGTGGTCCGGTTAAAAATCTAAATCTCGGTTCTATTAAAGTGAACTCTGTTGTGGTTCAAATGCACATGTGGATGCAAGTGTACCAGAGACCACGCCAAAAGCAGGAAGTGGACTACAGTGCAGGGCATTCTGGGTAAATACAACCAAAACAAACGCGCAAGTCTAGCACTAGTGACAAAAATGGCTTGTCGTCTTTTACCAAATAGAAACCGCTAAACTCTGGCGCTTTTCCAATATTTGTTTACATTTTGTGAAGAAGGAAGTTGCACTCATCTCTTCTTCTAAGGTTTTTGTGTTGTTTTCTTCAGGAGTTCTTGGAAGAGTGCCTCCACAGGTGAGGGAGGGAAGAGACTTTTCAACTAGTTTGGAGCATTTGACTCATTGCAGTGTGAAAGACGACTGCACCAGCTGAAAAAATGTAACAAATGTTGCAATTTTCGTCCCCAATCAAATTGAGTCTACCAGACTATCCGGTATGAAAACACCATAGCACTTAACACTTAATAATTACCCAGTGTGCCTATTGAAATTATTCCAAGTAAATCTTAGAATTGGTCAGATACCCTGTGGAAAAGAGATTCAGATGGGATGGCTGCTCCCTAGTCAAGGCTCTCATCTCCAAGGTTGTCACTGAAATTCTGCAAGCCATTGGTCGATGCCCTGCATGACGGAGTGAAGAGACGATTTGGGGAAATGATATCTGACCTGGACCTGGTCACTGCAACCATTTTGCATTTGAGATTTAAGAAATCCTGAACTGCAGCTGAAGAGGTCCTAAAACTAGGTAGGAAAATATCTATCACTAAATCTTGCCCTATCATGTTCCAATTTTGATTTTTTTTTTTGTTTAGTTGAATGAATCAGAAATCTTATTTAGACACAGAAGACTAGAGACATTTGTCGTTCTTTCCTTAATAGTCAGTTTGACAAATGACTTAGAGCAGCATAATTAAGAGTTTTATAAAAAAATACAATGATTGTTTGATTTAGGTCTCAGTTGCATCAAGGAGCATCTTCCTGAACACAAGACTCCTCTGCAGCAAACAAATCCCTCAAGCGGTTCTGATGAAGCAGATTTTTTCTCCAACATGAAGCACGTTCACAGCCAGGAAACAACCAAACAACTTGATGCATACCTGCCTGTCCAGCTGAAGGTATGTCCGTTTTAATTTCTTACCTGGCTGTATCCAGCACTCAAGCTAGACCCTGCCAGCTTTTCTTTTGAGTGACCCCTGAGCAACTTATACACTATTATTTTTTAAGCACAATCCTTTGGTAAGATAACTGTAAACATCGCACTTTGAGCTCACTTCACAACAAATACATGCAGTACCTTTGCAGACCACCAGTGGTTTGGGAATTTCAGTTTGAGAAAGACTGATGTAGACTAATCTGTGCAGAGCTTTCACTGTTTTGTGTCTACGTTAATAATGACCATACTTATAGCTACTGGTGTTTTTTCTTTTGTTTGGCGGAATGGGGATTATTTAAGGTTTAAAAAATTATGAAAATAGCTTATGGTTTTTTTTATTGCACTTTACTTTTATGTAGAAGTTCTACGGCATAGTCGTTTTGTTATACATGATCAGGTGATTTCAACAAGTTACAAGGTTCTGCAAAAGCCTTGGAAAAACATTACAACAGTTTACTGACTACA